CCCTGGGCATCTCGAAGCCCCTGGGCTGTGCCCCGCTTGGCCCGCACGGTGTAGCGGTGAAAGGTTTTGTGTATCACCACTTCTTTTCTGTAGACAGCATAGACTCAGTACTGGAGAACAGCTGGTGCTCCCAGGTTAGCAGGATCTATTCCAGCCTTGCCCCATGCAGCACCCTCACCCTTGAAAAATGGCACCAGCAAAGTGCCCAGCTGCAGCCAGGAGCACCACGCAGCACCTGGGACCTCCATTTTGCAGGTTCTGTAACAGCAGTTCTGCCTCTTCTGGGGGAACCTGCATGATATATGAAGCAGAACATAGTTTTACTCATCAAGGACAAGAAATCAAATGCTAATGCTAAGTGCTTCACAATAAATTATTACCTCATTTATTACAACCACCTTGAGCCTTGTTTCCATTTTATAAAGAAGGACATCTCAAGTTTGGAGAGGTAGTGGTAGATATACCACTTGGATAAGTGGTATATCCACAATTCAAACAGACTGATCTGTTTCCAAACTGAATTCTGTAATACTTGACCCTAGCACAATTCAGGCCAGTTTCAATTAAAGACTGCTGTCCATGTGATACCCAAGCCCAAAAAGAAGGATGTGGGAAGAAGTGATACACTAACCAGCTAAGGAGAAAACTAAGCTGAGCATACAAAAAGTTGGGGTTGACCACATAACTTGTGCAGACACTTGCCTTGTGAGGGCCTAGAACACAACGGTAGGCATAAAGAAATTGGCCATGGGCATTTTGGAAAAGAACTCGATGGGCATGGAAGCCTGGGGATTGGTTGGGCTTCTCAAATTCAGCCCTCTCCTTGCTCAGTGTCTGCAAGTCCTCTTCGCTATCTGAATCTTCTGATCCTGAGATGCTGGAAAGATCTCCTAAAGACAGACAACATGGGACATAAAAGTTTGGTACCCCATTTCTAACCTTTCTTCAAACTCCTTATGGCCTTCTTACACCCCATGTCCTGCTCCCACCAGGCATCACCTGTGGAGCTCTGCTTTTCAAAGTCCAGGGCAGACAGGAGAGGCTTGTTCTTGAGACGTTGCTTTAGGTTAAAGCGATGCCAGTCAAGCTTATAATGTTCTCTCTGGTACAAAGGCAAAATGGGAGGCAGGTGGTAGAACATGGCCCAGCCTGGCCCTATGTACTAGCCAAGACCACTCATGAAACTCCAGAAGTGGGACCAGGTAACACCAACTGCTTTAGTGGTAAAGCACAGACCTTTAATAACTTAAGGCAAATCAAATGTCTACTTCTCCCACCCACTCCCCCACCTCTACTTTTGTTCCTAACATCCAGCCCTATATCCTGGCTTTTACCTGTTCCTGGTGGTTCTGGAAGGTCTGGTCACAGGATGAACAAAATAATTTCTCTGAAATATCCACAGGACCATGGAGTCCTTTTCTTTCTGGGCTTGTTCTCTCCCCTGAACCTAAATAAGGGAAGGGTAATTGAACTTCTAAGGGGCTCAAATTCATAATGCCTGGATTTAGTCAATATCTGATATCCCAACAGTAAGACACAAAAGAAAGAGATGGGCACACGCCTGTAATCCCAGCAGCTTGGGAGGCTGAGGCAGGAGGATTGCAGGTTCATAGCCAGCCTCAGCAACTTGACAAGGCCCTGAGCAACTCAGCAAGACCCTATCTCAAAATAAAATGTAAAAAAGGGCTAGGGATGTGACTCAGTGGTAACACCACCCCCCCCCCCCCCCCCTTCAATCCCTAGTACAAAAAAAAAAAAAAAAGATGGTATGACTTTGCCTTCAAAATATTTACAATCTAATAATCATGAAATCAGTTTATACAATCAATAGGCTTCTAAAAAATTCAATAAAATAAATATGTCAAATGTTGTATTTAAAATAGCCAAAGGGATTATTTACAGGAATTCTGTAGAAAATAATTTGTGGTAATGTTAAAATTTTCTCTTTTTTCTTTTTGTTTTAGGTGCTGGGAATTAAACCCAGGGCCTGGTACATGCTAAATTCATGCTCTATCACTGAGCTACACCCCTAGCCCTTGAATTTTTTTTTTCATTTTATTTCATTAACTGCTACATACTGCATGTTACATAACACTGCAGAACGTTCTAGAAAGGGTGAATGACCATAAGTTATTATTAAGAAAAATTTTCCCTTAATCAATATTCTCCAAACTTTTTGACACATAGTGATAATAATTCTGGATTCACACCTATCTCTTTTTTCATCAAACTCCACTGATATGGATTAACAGGCAACCCCTTTTTTTCTTGCTTCTGCTAGTGAACTTGTGGATGCACTCTCAGTTGCCACTCCCCGGAAGAACAAATATGCACCCATAAAGACAAGTCCAGGGAGAATCTCAAACCACATCTCCACAAAGTTAACTAAACCAAAACACTATTATCAGGTCCCTTAAAAGTGACTGGGCTTCAGCTCATATCCCCATAAATCCTAGAATTATTATCGCTGTTGTTGTTATTCTTTTGTAGTACTGGGTGTGCATTCATGCTAGGCCAGCACTCTGTCACTGAGCTACAACCAGACTTTAATAACTTAAACTTATTTTTAAGTGTACAAAAGCCACTCCCCTGCTGGGTCCTGTGATCCATGCCTGTAATCTCAGCAGCTTGGGAGGCTGAGGAGGGAGGATTGCAAGTTCAAAGCCAGCCTCAGCAATTTACTGAAACTGTAAGCAACTTAGCAAGACCCTTTCTCTAAACAAAATATTAAAAAGGGCTGGGGACGTGGCTCACTGGTTGAGCACCCGGAGTTCAATCCCTGGTACAAAAAAAAATAATAACAGTCACTCCCTAAGTGCCACTTTTTAAGATTACAGTTCAATTAAAAGGGCAGTTAATCTAAAGAGAAGTGTAATAAAACACATAGCCAAAGACAAACTACAATTATATGAAACTGACAATAAATTGTTTAATATTTAGCACAAAGAGATGCTTTTGAAGCCAGATTTAAAGATAGGTAGTTAGTGTAGTTAGGTAAATCGGGTCTAATATCGAGTAAAACGGAGAATGAAGGCCATATTGAGAATGGAGTCCAGGAAAAGGGGAATTGAAAATGTCCCCAAGGCCCAGAGCCCATCCCAAGGAAATGTTAATGAAGCAGCTCCCAGCAAAATGTGGAGATGCTAGTCCAAAAGTCCTTCCTGCCCAGATTACTCCTTCGGCCCACCTGTCCCCCACCCTTTGGGCCTTCCTCACCTACATTCCATTACTGCAAGATAACAGAACTAAGGACCTGGAATGCGAGAAAGCTGAGAGAAGACCTCCCCCTTCCATGGATTCCACCTCTTGGGTCCCCTTTTCCTCGGGGTAGAAGTCTTTTCTGCTGTCCTTAATAAAGCTTCTACTTTATAAACTTGCCTCAGAGTGCTTCTCTGGTGTTATACTTCAGCATTCGGGGAAGCAAGGACTTGTGACCGGTAAACGGCGGTAACACTTTGATTGGAGTTCAGTACAATTTGGAATACACCTAAGTATTTTGAAGTGTTTTCAAGGGAGTGGTGTTAAATGTGACCAAACATATGCAACAGTTAAAGTCTTGTTTGGAGAAAACTTCGGGGCCTGTGATGGAAATTACCCAGAGACTAGTGAATTTTAAGAAAAACTGTATCCAGTAAAAAGAGTCACCGTGAACTCCTAAGCTGAGAAATACCATTAAGAAAGTGTTCCTGGGCTAGGGATATGGCTCAAGTGGTAATGCACTCGCCTGGCGTGCGCGGGGCGCTGAGTTCGATCCTCAGCACCACATAAAAAAATAAAGACATTGTGTCCACCGAAAACTGAAAAATAAAAAAATACTAAAAAAATTCTTTCTCCTCTCTCTCTCTTAAGAAAGAAAGAGTTCCTAGCACTCCGAAGAGCCCTGTGACGTTCCACATGTGTCTACCCCAAACTTCTCGGGATACCTGAACAGGAAGTAGCCAGAGCCCCGGCCAGAGCTTCCCCGGGAGCGTGGCTCACCAGGCTCAGGCCCCGAAGTACTGGAACATCCGCGCTGAGGTCAAAGAGGGAGACCGACGCCGGAGCTGGAACCGAAGTCGCAGCTGGAGCTGGCGACATGGCTGAACAGGAATTACTTAGAAGCAGCTCCTGGAGCAGAAAAGGGAGTATGGGGGGGGGGTTATTAAGAAACTGAGCTCCCCAGAAACCACTGCCACATCTCATGCCTGAATTGGTCTTCTCTATGGCGCAAGGCCCATAGGTTCTCAACCTGCTAGAGGATACAGCTCGGCGGTAAATACATGGCCCTGGTCTGTTTCCTCAAACCCCTAGCCTCGGGCCGCAGGGGTGAAATGGGGGAACATCCAGCTCCAAATCGAATTTAAGTTAAAATCACTAAGATTGCCTAACCGACCGCTCTTTTGTTACTCGAACGACGAGTTCCAGCCATGACTGAGTCGCGTAAACTTGTCCCCGCCTTCAGAAGCTGCACCAAACAAGCCCCGCAACAGCACAGCCACCTTTTGAAAGTCGGATTTCTGCAACACCACAAGAATCCCGTCACTACGGATCAGCGAAAAGGACAAACATCCCCGCCCGCCCCCGAGTCCCTCCCAACCTAGAGCGCACTATTGGTCCTCTGACTTCCAAGACCCTCCCGGTGTCCTTCGTCCCGCCCCTGGACTCGAGAATTGGCCGATGTGTCTCCTCCCCCCTATTTTCATTGGCCAATTAGGCTGCAGATGACGGTGAGTGGCAGACGCCGGGCCTAGAGCTCCGGGTCGGACCGAGCAGAGCCGAACAGACCGAGCCCCTGGAATCGCCTGGGTCGCGGTTCCTGAGGTGACACGCGAGACTGGTTATTGGAATCCCCGGGCCCAGGCCGGAGCTGGCCAAGAGTGCCCACGGAGCTCCAAGTGAGCTCGCAGCGGGTAACGGGGGAAGGGGCGCCGCGGGCGGGGCGGGGGCGCGCAGTCAGAATGTTTTGATAGCGGGCGCGCGGAGGGGTGGCGCGCACGGGCGGCGGGGACGCGCGTGAGGTTGTCCGCTGTTGGGAACCGAGCCCTTGGCCTGGGGCCGGGCGACCCTGGGGCGCGTTGTGCTCAGGTCCGGGTGGCTGGGTGTAGGGAGGTAACCCAGTCCACCCGGGCGTCAGCTGTAGGTCGAGCTCTACCCCTCCAACATCCGCTGGAACCCCTAAGCCCAGGCCCTGCCTGCTGGGGATCCATGGGTCCTGGGTCTACATTGACCTGATGAGTGGTGAGTTCGCAGAGAGGCAGGGCTGCCACTAATCCAGGAAATCCCACTGGGGCGAGATGGGGCCAGATCCACAGTCCCCAGGGTCTGCACTGACTTGGTGAACACCACCTTGTCCATGCCTGGCTCCAGGGACGTAGGGAATCCACGTATTCACCCGGGATCTGGGGTTTACACTAACTTGAAATTTCCTGGCCAGAAGCTATGTCTGTGTGCGAAGGAAGCAGGTGAAGGGGTTGACCAGAAAGGTCCTTTTCAGATAACACTTTTATTTGGGGTTTTGTGGACCCTGAGGGGCATATCTAATTTTTTAAACTGAGATGGGGCAGTGGAGGAAAAATCTAGAGGGGCCCCCAGCCTCTGGCCAGTACTGACTCAGTCTCCACAGGGTCAATAAGTTGCTTCTGGGGATTCTAGAGGTGGATGAGTGACCCTCTATAGTACAGCCAAAGGAGATCTCACAGTCCTAGACTGGAAGGGGCCTTTTCCCCACTGCAGCCTCCCTGTCCTCCTCTTAGTGGAACTTGGGTGCATGGGAGGGTTGGTTTCTTTTCTGTCCCCATTCCCCACTCTCTGGGGCCTGACGCCTTCTCCTCCAGCAGCTGTCAAGCCAGGGCATCCAGGGCTGGAGTGGAGCAGACACTGTCCATGGAGCTGGTAGGGCCATGTGCTTATCTCAAATCTTTGTTTACAACATGCTTCCAAACTGCTAGTCTCTGGGGAGACCAGGGATTCCAGGAGGGGTAGGGGAGGGACCTTGCTCTCTATTGAATAGAAGATGAAATAGCCTGCTCCCCACCAAAGGAGCAGATTCTGGCTTCAGACCAGGGAAAGTCTCTGGGAATGACTGACCATGGTTAAGGGCATCCAGTCCCTAAGCTTACTACTCTCCTTGGGTTATTACTCTTGCTTTGCCTTTGAGCCAAGGAGACTGGTGGTGAAGACAAAACCCAAGGATTCTTTCTCACTCCTTCTGGCCTAGTAGACAGGGCAACAGGCAGGCAGCACCTGGGCCTGAACCAGTGTCTTTTTTTCCTCATCACTGGCAGGTGGACAAGGTGGACAGGGGGCTGCGGTGATGGCGCAGTTTGACACTGAATACCAGCGCCTGGAGGCATCCTATAGCGATTCCCCTCCAGGGGAGGAGGACCTGTTGGTGCATGTTGCTGAGGGAAGCAAGTGTGAGTTCTTGGGTACAACAGCCAGAGCTGAGCCGAGGGGGGAGTGGGTGGAGGAACATTGAGAGAGTGAGGGGCTTTTGTTCCTTCAGAGCTCTGACATCTCTGCTCCTGTGCCCACAGCACCTTGGCACCACATCGAAAACCTTGACCTCTTTTTCTCTCGAATATCCTTTGTGTCTCTGTGTTAGAGCTCTGGGACCCTTAGCCCTTCTCTGAGCCAGGTCACTGATGGGATGCAGGGGTGGGTTCAACTGATCCCTGGAAGAAGAAATGAAGCCCATCCTGAGGCTGAAAGAGGCTAGTAAAATAATGATTATTAAAAATAATGATATGCCACATTTACCAAGAGCTACGTGCCTAGGTGCACTTTGTGGTGTTAATTTATAAGGAACTTTTCTAAGATGATCCACCTTTCTGATGGGATGTTAATAATCATAATAATTACTGTCTTTTGACTCATTCTTTGTCATTTCTGTGTTAAATACTTTGCATGCATTTTCTTATACCTAATAACTCTGTGAGACATATTGCCATTCCATAGTTGACAAAAGTTTAGAGAGGTTAAATAACTTGTATAAAGTCTAGACCTTCAGAGCCAGGAACTTAAGCTCAGGTGCATGACATCAAGGTCTAAATGTGTAACTGTTGTCTTTACTGACCACTTTTTCTTAACAATTAACACGTTTATAATCTTCATCAGAAGAATGGCTTCACGTGTATGCTCATTGGGGAGATCTTTGAGCTCATGTAAGTATACAAAGAAATGAATGATGTCGTGAATGTCATCTATCTTTCCTTGCTCTAACCCTGACTCTGCTTGCCAAGATCTCACAGTCCTAGACTGGAAGGGGCCCAGGCTCCAAACTCTACAAGACCAGGTGTGATGCCAAAACTTATAGCTTCACCTCTTGCAAGAAGAGCTTTCCAGGTCCTGTCTCTTCTATGAAAAGAACTCACACCTTGATCATATCATCAGAGTTGCAGTGGATATGCCAGGTTCAGTCAGGATGTCTCAGAGGTAGCAGCCAGTTAAGAGCCTCTGTTCTACATTAGTTGTACCTTAGACCTGCTGCTGGGCACAGAGCCTTCTAAGGGGAAGAAGCCATACAGTGTTGCCAGAGGGGAAGGGTCTGAGAAGCCGTTTCTCAATGAGAAAATAGTTCACATCCCCAAAGAGCTTCTAACTACCATCCAAAGGGATCAGGGGCTAGATTCAAGAAACCATAGTTATAAAACCTCTGCAAGTTAAGTCTGGTGGTGGTGACAGATTATCATAAAGTGAGAAAGCAGAATGATTCTGTGGTGCCTAAAGCTAAGAGTGAAAAATAGGAGCCAATTTGGGCCTGAGAATGTCCCATGAGGTTGAACAGAGATAGCCTGTTAGGAGTTCATCGCCTTTGATTTCCTGTCTTCTTTGGCTGCTTCCAAGCTCTCTCTTGTTCCACTTTATTTTACTGGTGCCTCTCTGATTCTCAGACTGCATCCCTCTTCCCAACTCTCTAGGCAGTTTCTCTTTGTGGTTGCCTTCACTACCTTCCTGGTTAGCTGTGTGGACTATGACATTCTATTTGCCAACAAGATGGTGAACCACAGTCTTCACCCTACTGAGCCCGTCAAGGTCACTCTGCCAGATGCCTTTTTGCCTGCCCAAGTCTGCAGTGCCAGGTGAGGCTGTAGGTGAGAAGGCACTGGGGTCTGCAATTCTTCTAGTAGGTAGGGAATGGAGTGGAGTATGAGGCAGCAACTTGTACCCCAGATGCAGACTCAGGCTCGGCCTAGCAGAATTTTTTAGGATAGCAGAATGTCTCTAAGACTCATTCTTCAAGGACCACCCCACTTCACCTTCTCTGTCCCCATTAGGATACAGGAAAATGGCTCCCTTATTACCATCCTGGTCATTGCTGGTGTCTTCTGGATCCACCGACTTATCAAATTCATCTATAACATTTGCTGCTATTGGGAGATCCACTCCTTCTACCTGCATGCTCTGCGCATTCCCATGGTAAGATTGGCTTTGGATCATTAGCACCACAATGTAAGACATCATGGGAGGGATGAGGTGTATTCTGAGTATCACATGTCCGTCCAGATTCATCATTGGCAGGTGTGCTAATCAGATTTCTATTACAGTTACAAAATATCTGAGATAATCAGCTTATAAAGAGAAAAGATTAGCTGGGCATAGTGGTACACATCTGTAATCCCAGCAACTCGGAAGGCTTAGGCAAGAGGATTGCAAGTTCAAAGGCAGCCTCAGCAATATAGCAAGGCCCTAAGCAACTTAGCAAGACCCTGTCTCAAAAAAAAAAGGGCTGGGAATATGGCTCCATGGTTAAGCACTCCTGGGTTCAATCCCTAGAATGCGAAAGAGAGAGAGAAGGTTTATTTTATTCCACAATTCAGAGGTTTCAGTCTATGGTTGGTTGATCCAGTGGTTTGGGGGCCTGTAGCAGGGAAGTACATCTTGATGGGACACGTGGTAGAAGATGCCTTTTCATCTCATGGCAGCCAGGAAGCAAAGAGAAAGTCAGGGGTCCCAGGTCCCAATATCCCCTTCCAGGGAATGCCCCTGATGACCTAATTTATTCCTATTAGGCCCTACTTCTACAAGGTTCCACCACTTGCCAATAGTGCCACCAGCTAATGTGAGACCAAACCATTAACACATAGGTCTTTGGGGAACACATTCTAGATCCAAACTAGAGCAATAGGTCAGGAAGTATCTGATTAAAGGCTCTACTTGGCTAAACACATGACCCCCGAGCCACATCTATACAGGGTAAGGGGTCGGGCTAACAACTCCCCCTTCCATACCTTGTTTCTTCCTCATCCCACCCCGCAGTCCGCCCTGCCCTATTGCACGTGGCAGGAAGTGCAGGCCCGGATTGTGCAGACCCAGAAAGAGCATCAGATCTGTATCCACAAGCGTGAGTTGACAGAGCTGGACATCTACCACCGCATCCTCCGTTTCCAGAACTACATGGTGGCACTGGTGAACAAATCCCTTCTCCCCCTGCGCTTCCGCCTGCCTGGCCTTGGGGAGGCTGTCTTCTTTACCCGTGGTCTCAAGTACAACTTTGAGCTGATCCTGTTCTGGGGACCTGGCTCTCTGTTTCTCAATGAATGGAGCCTCAAGGCTGAGTACAAACGTGGGGGACAACGGCTAGAGCTGGCTCAGCGCCTCAGCAACCGCATCCTGTGGATTGGCATTGCCAACTTCCTGCTCTGCCCCCTTATCCTCATCTGGCAGATCCTCTACGCCTTCTTCAGCTATGCTGAGGTGTTGAAGCGCGAGCCAGGGGCCCTGGGAGCACGCTGTTGGTCACTGTATGGCCGCTGCTACCTCCGCCACTTCAACGAGCTGGAGCATGAGCTACAATCCCGCCTCAATCGTGGCTACAAACCTGCCTCCAAATACATGAATTGCTTTTTGTCACCTCTGCTGACACTGCTGGCCAAGAATGGTGCCTTCTTTGCTGGCTCCATCCTGGCTGTGCTTATTGCCCTCACCATCTATGATGAAGATGTATTGGCTGTGGAGCATGTCCTCACCACCGTCACACTCCTGGGAGTCACGGTGACCGTGTGCAGGTGGGTCAGGGCAGCAGGTGGGAGCAAGCAGACTAACCTTCCAGGAAAGGTTTGCATCTCACCATGAGCTTGATCTCACTAGGTCCTTCATCCCAGACCAGCATATGGTGTTCTGCCCTGAGCAGCTGCTCCGTGTGATCCTCGCTCACATCCACTACATGCCTGACCACTGGCAGGGTAATGCCCACCGCTCGCAGACCCGGGACGAGTTTGCCCAGCTCTTCCAGTACAAGGCAGTGAGTGGAGTTGGAGTTAGGGCCTGCTAGAGACTGACTGGTAGCTTGGTGGTGAGGCCGAGCTCCTTCTTGCTCTCTTATGACCTTGGTCCCTTTCCTTTTAGGTTTTCATCTTGGAGGAGTTGCTGAGCCCCATTGTCACACCCCTCATCCTCATCTTCTGCTTGCGCCCACGGGCCCTGGAGATTATAGACTTCTTCCGCAACTTCACCGTGGAGGTGGTTGGTGTCGGAGATACCTGCTCCTTTGCTCAGATGGATGTTCGCCAGCACGGTCACCCCCAGGTAGCAGGAGAGAAGAGGGGCAGGTGGACAGGGATGATGCCAGTACATAGTGTCTTTGGACAAACTGCAAAAAGTCACCCTTTCTGAGCCAACAAAAAAGGCAGCTCTGCCTCTGGCCAGCCCTGCATCAGTACTTGGTACTATTTAGGACACCACTTGGTAACCAGCAGCCTGGGCTGGATTTCAGCCCTGTTTTGCACTATTGACCAAATTCCCTTGAGAAAGGCACAACACAAGCAACTGACCCAGCATGTTGCTACCCTGGGGTGGGCATTAGGGTCCCTGGACAAGATATGACAATGCTTTATGGTCTCTGTCCTCCAGAAGGGCTTACCTTGCAAGAGGTACAGGTAGAGTGCCTATAAGAGGACAGGCTTGCTTACTATGTCTTCCCTGTGCAGTGGCTATCTGGTGGGCAGACAGAAGCCTCAGTGTACCAGCAAGCTGAAGATGGAAAGACAGAGTTGTCACTCATGCACTTTGCTATCACCAATCCTGGCTGGCAGCCACCACGTGAGAGCACAGCCTTCCTAGGCTTCCTCAAGGAACAGGTTCAGCGGGATGGAGCAGCTGCTGGCCTTGCCCAAGGGGGTCTGCTCCCTGAGAATGCCCTTTTTACATCCATCCAGTCCTTACAATCCGAGTCTGAGGTATGTTCTGGGGGACTGGGAAATGGGCAGAGTGGACTCCTCTGGAGTCGGGGATTGAGGCTATGGCATGGAATGGAAGGTTTCCTTCTGTGTGTTTAGTCTAGGCCATTGGGCCCTAAGGTATAGAATACTAGGGAACCTAGAAGCTTCTCCTCTGCTCTGAGAATTCTTCCCATCCTTTTTTTTTCATAGCCCCTGAGCCTTATTGCAAATGTGGTAGCTGGCTCATCCTGCCGGGGCCCCCCACTGCCCAGAGACCTGCAGGGCTCCAGGCATAGAGCTGAAGTTGCCTCTGCCCTGCGCTCCTTCTCCCCTCTGCAGCCTGGGCAGGCTCCCACAGGCCGGGCTCCCAGCACCATGACAGGCTCTGGGTGAGTAGAGGTGGACCAAGATGGGAGGGTATGATAGTAGTCCCAGCAACTTGTGTGGGCCTAAAGAGTGTTGATAACTAGGGCTGGGGATATAGCTCAGTGGTAGAGCACTTCCCTAGAGCACTGTGTGAGGACCTGGGTTCAATCCCTAGTACTGGGGACAAAAAAAAAATACTGACAACTGCTGTCTGTCTGTGCTGGGAGGGACAGGGTGGATGCCCGGACAGCCAGCTCTGGAAGCAGCGTATGGGAAGGACAGCTGCAGAGCCTGGTGCTATCAGAATACGCATCCACCGAGATGAGCCTGCATGCCCTCTATATGCACCAGGTGAGTGGGCAGCTGGAAAACAGAACAGGAGAAATCAGGCATGGGTTCTCATCCCTTCTCTGCAACTTACCTGCTCTACAATCTCCATTCTCACATATACCATCTTAATACCGTGTTAACCAAGCATACTTTCAGTGCCTTCAGTTACCTCTGCCTAGAGTTCATTCCCTGATATATCCAGATGCTCCCTTCTCCTCCTCCTGTTATTACCTACCTCCTCCTGAGACTTTTCTCTGACCACTCTCAGTAAAAGCTTCCCTTACTGCCTTCCTGTTCTGTATTTCACCATGGCCTTTGGTACCATCTGACATACTGTATTTTTTCCTTATTTGTTTATTGTCTATACTCTGCCTAGCCACTACCATCACCAGTGTATAAACCAGGGGCTGCTGGCTTTGTCTATTTTGTTTACCACTATGTCCCAATACTTAAAAGAGTGCCTGACACTTAGACCCTTGATCAGTTTGTTCTTGAATCAAATGAATGGGTAAAATGGGAGTCCTTACCACCTATGCACAGGCTTTTCTAGGAGTCTGCTGAGAACAAACCTGTAGAGTATCAGGCATCTGGCATATACTACTATTAACACCATATGTGCCCTGGGTGAAGGATTCTAGGTGAAGGGGGTGCAAGTGGGAACTGGCTGATACCATGATGGAGGCAGTTGTTTCAGTACCCTCTGTCCCCTCAACTAATAAGCCCCTCACTTTTGCAGCTCCACAAGCAGCAGACCCAAGCTGAACCTGAGCGGCATGTGTGGCACCGCCGGGAAAGTGATGAGAGTGGAGAGAGTGCCCCTGAAGAGGGGGGAGAGGGCGCCCGGGCCCCTCAACCTATCCCTCGCTCTGCCAGCTATCCCTGTGCTACACCCAGGCCTGGAGCACCCGAGACCACTGCCCTGCATGGGGGCTTCCAGAGGCGCTATGGGGGCATCACAGGTATCCATCTGGGGATATGGAAGGAGTAAGGCTGCAGGGAAGCGTAAGTTTTTAGGGGAGGAAAGAGATCAGAAGGATGGGGCCCAAAGAGGCCAGTCCTCCGAGCAGTCCTTGAACCCATCTCCTCTTTCCTGTTTGTGTTCTTATTTGTCTGTCCAGATCCTGGCACAGTGCCCCGGGCTCCCTCTCACTTTTCCCGCCTGCCCCTTGGAGGGTGGGCTGAAGATGGGCAGCCAGCATCAAGGCACCCGGAGCCTGTGCCCGAGGAGGGCTCAGAGGATGAGCTTCCCCCTCAGGTGCACAAGGTAAGAGCTCTAGGACTTGAGAACCACTACCAGAAGTAATAACTTCCAGGCTGAGGTGGCGGCTTCCCATGTGGAGGAACGTGTTCCCACTCCGTGCACCCTCCCCTCCAAGATATACTCCCCTTTCCTTACTCACCTGCTCTGAAGTCAAGGGCTTGCTTTTGCTTATCTTCCCAGGGAATCAAATTTCTTTTTCCTTTATATCTAGGCTCCCATGGTGCAGATATTTAAAACTATCTCCATTGCCAACCATTTTCTCTCCACAGGTATAGATAAGGCTGAGAAAGTCCTTATGCCCCAGGATGGAGGCCACCGCTGCCCTGCCATCCCATCCACTCACCATGGGAGGGCTCCTCTGAGTGTTGCCTGGCTCCACATGTGTGGTATTTGTGTGTCTGTGCCTGGCCAAGGGAGGTGCCAACACTGGGCTTGCCACAGCCCCAGGAGAAGAATTTGTGGCCTAGGAACTGGGGGCGCACAGAACTCTAGCCTCAACCCCAGGACCCCCTTGGCTCAGAGTGTGGTGCTAGAAACTTGTCCCCAGCCCAGCCCCAGTACTGCCACCTTTGCACCCACCCCTGCAAGTCTCCAGAGGGCTGCCTACCACAGAAGCTGCCAAGCAGGAAGAACCTGTGCCAACTGTGGAGTGGGGAGGTTGGGCCTGGACCCTTGACCCTTGCAGTCTACCCCCAGATGAGCAGCTCAGGCTGTGGCCCTTACCTCATCCCTAGTTCTCACCCAGTGCTACAGCCAGCTCACCTCTCTTCTGCTTCCTGCACATCACTGGCATGTGTGTGCTGCTTGCTCCCCTTCCATTTGGCTTTTCCTTTGCGTTGGAGTGGAGGCCCTAGCTCCCAGCTCCCTTCACTCTATCTTTTGACACTAAGAAAGGTTTCTAACTTGCAGGAGCAGTATGGAAATTCTTTGCTGCCCTCTGCAACTTTTAGGATGGGCCCCTGGGAGATGAGGCCTTCCTGGGCCCCCATTGCTGCTTATTGTATCCCTACCCCCTGCACATGGACCGGACAGGGCTGGAGTATGACCTCAACCGTCTATATCCCAGCAAGAGAGCTCTGGCCCCCATCACGCTGTTCCCTAGAGGGGGATGGAGGTGGGATGGCCTCGCCCTAGGCTTTGGGCTGCTGCATTGCATGCTGGGACTCAGCTCCTACCCTATATCCCACCCTCACCCAACCCTGGTCCGCAGCAGCAGAGTGGTGATCTCTGCTGTCAGCGCTCACAGAGGAACGGGGTGGGGACCGTGTACAGCTTGATGACCCTCAATAAAGAAGGGACTTTGACCTGGTCGTGGCTTATCTCGTGCAGCTAGGGTCCTGGAAACAAGAGGAGTGGGAGTGGGGTGCGTGCGATTCCTCCTCCTCCCTGGAGACCAGGCGGGATTTGGTAGCAAGTGGGCCCAGGCCTCAGCTAGAATACACCAACCTTGCCGACTAAGCTGAAGGCCTGCTTCTGACCCACAGTTCGGTGGAGGTCAAGGTCTGCGTCAGACGTGCAGTCAGATTTCCCGCCCTGAGCACATGATCAAGTTGGCTCCGCCCCTCTATTTTGCCCACCTCGCGTGCCTCGTTCTTCCCCCGCCCCCCGCCTCCAGAGACATTTGGCCAATAGGGACTCTGTATAGGGGGATGGGGCGGGACAGGGTGGGGGCCGCTGCGGTAGAGGGCGGTGCGAGTCTGATGTTGGGTTTTCTGTGCGCTAGCACTTGGCCGGAGGGTCCTGGACTGCGGGCGGAGGGAGCACGGGCGGAGGCGGCGTACGTGCCCTGCGTGAGTGCGTGGTGGCGGCGCGTGCGCGAAGCGAGTGGGCGGTGTGGCAGGGTCCATGTGCGTCCATTCCCCAGACCCCCGCAGCTTGGCTCCGGGTGACTCCATGACCCCAAGACACCCCGGCGTCCGTGCCTCTCCCTGAGCGGCCAGTCCGGTTCTCCGGTCCCACAGTGCTTGCAGGTTCGACCAGCAGCCACATATTGTCATGATGATTGTGGGCAACTACTGTGAAGCCGAAGGGCCCGTGGGTCCGACCTGGACTCAGGGGGGCCTGAGTCCCTGCTTCTTCTTCACGCTCGTGTCCTCGACGCTGATGGCCCTTGGGACTCTGGCCTTGGTGCTGGCTCTTCCCTGCAAGCGTCGGGAGCGACTCGTTAGCGCGGACGCTTTGTCTTGGGGGACTGGTCCCCACATCGCTCCTTACGGGCTGCAGCTGCTTCTGGCCACACTTCAGGTGGCACTGCCACTGGCTGGCCTGGTTGGCCGGGTGGGCACCGCCCGGGGGGCCCGGCTACCAGGCTACCTGCTGCTGGCTTCTGTGCTGGAGAGTCTGGCCAGTGCCTTTGGCCTGTGGCTGCTTGTGAAGGAACGGAGCCAGGCACGGCAGAGTCTCGCAATGGGCGTCTGGATCAAGTTCAGGCACAGTCCTGCTCTCCTGCTTCTCTGGACGGTGGCGTTTGCAGCTGAGAACTTGGCCCTTGTGTCTTGGAACAACCCGCAGTGGTGGTGGGCAAGGGCAGACCAGGGTCAGCAGGTGAGGGACCTTGTGGAGAGAATGGGAAGCACTAATGGCAGGGCTTGGGAAGAAGTACTGCATGTGTGGACTTACTGGCTCCATACTTTAGGATGGCTCTTAAAAAAAGAAAGGAGTGACCAGTGCCTGCTGGGTGCTGATAGCCAGCTGGTGGGGCGTGCCTGTGCTGAGTCACTGTGGTTTTTTTTTTTTTTTTTTAAGCCTGTTAGGTGCTGGGCTCCTGAGGAGGGCTCAGTGTTATGAGAAGTAGTCAACGAGATTTTAGTGTCATTCACATTCTGTGCACATTTCATTTTAGGTTCAGTTTGGTCTGTGGGTCCTGAGATATGTGGTTTCTGGAGGGCTGTTTGTCCTGGGGCTCTGGGCCCCTGGACTTCGTCCCCAGTCCTACACCTTGCAGGTTATTGAAGAAGACCAAGATGTAGAAAGGAACCAGGTACACCTTATCTCCTGAGTCCTGAGATGTGTGTGTGTTGTGTACATGCGTGTATGCACTCTGGGTTTCCGTCCCAGGGTCTCCTGAATGCTAAACGTGCTCTACCGCTGACCTACATCTCCAAGTCCTCTGAATCCGGATGTCTATCTTTATTTAATTCCCTGTCATCATTCCCTCTCCCCATAAAGAGTTAGTTCTTTTCCCAAACATCAATTTGTGACCCAGTAGTAGCTTTCTAATCCCATAAGGGATTGCTCAGACACTTGGGAGCTATATACCCATACATTTTTCCATGGAACATTTTTGGCTAGTGAGTTTCTTTATCTCTGAGCTTCTCTCCTCTGTGTGTTATTATCCTAGGCTGGATCGACAGAACAACAGTCTACTTGGCGAGACCTTGGCAGGAAGCTTCGCCTGTTGAGTGGCTACCTATGGCCTAAGGGGAGTCCAGCTCTGCAGCTGGTTGTACTCATCTGTCTGGGGCTCATGGGCTTGGACCGAGCACTCAATGTGTTGGTCCCCATCTTCTATAGAGACATTGGTGAGGGGGAGAAGGAATACAGCTTAGCCTGCTGGTTCTTCCTTAGCCTGGTGGATGAGGTGGCTCTTACCTAGGAAGATGGGACAGAGGGAGGTGGGACAGTGGGAGCTAGGTGGTCAGAAAAGGACAGCTTGGGGCAGTTTTGCCTGAAGCAAATCCCAAGTGCCCAAGTGACCTTTTTTTTTCCATAGTGAACTTGCTGACTAAGAATGCCCCTTGGAGTTCCCTGGCCTGGACTGTTACCACCTATGTCTTCCTCAAGTTCTTCCAGGGTGGTGGCACTGGCAGTACAGGTGTGTGGGACCCTGTACTCATCCTGGTTGGCATCAATCCCTCCCATAGGCATTCCTTACTCCTGTGCCTCACTGAGGATTCCTTTCCCAGGTCCCTCTGTGCTTTTAGACCTTTCATATCTTAGTGTTGGGCTGACATCCTTCAGCCTCAAGCCCTATTGAGGCTTCCCTGCTCCCTAGGCTTTGTGAGCAACCTGCGCACGTTCCTGTGGATCCGGGTGCAGCAGTTCACATCGCGTCGTGTGGAGCTACGCCTCTTCTCCCACTTGCACGAGTTATCACTGCGTTGGCACCTGAGTCGCCGCACTGGGGAGGTGCTGAGGATTGTTGACCGGGGCACATCCAGTGTCACAGGGTTGCTCAGGTGCCACACGAGTGGAAAGGGCATTGGGAGGGTGGGACCCTGAAGCAGGGGTAGAGGAGCTATCAGAATAGACCTTGCCTGAGCTGCTACCCCTCTCACTTGGTTTATGTTTTGTTTTATAAATCATAAGGGTGATATATACACTGCTGTCATAATAACTTAATGCAGACAAGAAGAGATCTCAGTTATATCTGTGCAGACTCACAGAATTAATATACTGTGGAAAATTTTCCTAAATCAGGTTTTTAGGACATAGGTGTTGTTCTTAAGAGTTCCTTTAACAAAACCTCATGGGGGTATATTTTCATCCATGCATGAAGATATCCGCTACTCACCATAACTGATAACTTTATAGAGAATTCTGTGATTTGGGCATGCCATGGTTTATTTAGCTGTGTATCTCTTGAAAGACATTTAGATTGATTCCAGTCTGTTGCTGTTGAAAACAAAACACTACACTAAAACTCCTAGAGGTAGGGTTGCTGGATGTAAGCCACCAACCTTTTGTCGCTTGACTTGCCCTCTTAGCTACCTGGTGTTCAACATCATCCCCACGCTGGCTGACATCATCATTGGCATCATCTACTTCAGCATGTTCTTCAATGCCTGGTTTGGCCTCATTGTGTTTCTGTGCATGAGTCTTTACCTCAGTGAGTACTGCTGGGTGAAACCATCTCTCTGAACTATCTAGGGCTTCCTTGGCATGAGCATCACTACCCACTGTGGGGAGGCTGAGGATTGGTGGACTTGATTAGGATATGGCTCTTCCTGGCATGGTGGGCAGGTTTCCTGCTCTGTCACGTTGAACCTTAGTTCACCCTAGATGAAGGACCAGGGAGGGACATCCTTGTCACATTAGGTCCCTCCAGTGGCCTCAGGTCAAGGAGAAACTCATTTATGCAGTAAAATGCATTTCGCCTTTACCTCAAGAGGTTTTCCACTCATAGGCCTTTGAGTAAGCTGCAAAGATATCTTACACAAAGCTCCTCTCCTCAGCAAGCTTAAGGCTCTCTTCCTCTTGAGTCTGGGTCCCAGGGCCCTAGTATAGGTTTAGTATGTATGGCAGGTAGTGGACATTGACGCTTAGTCTTTGTTGTTGAGGATGATGACTTATTCTCCCTGCCCCTTACCCTGTCACCCTCCAGTCCTGACTATCGTGGTCACTGAGTGGAGAACTAAGTTTCGCCGTGCCATGAACACACAGGAAAATGCCACGCGGGCACGAGCAGTGGACTCTCTGCTAAACTTCGAGACAGTAAGGGAGGCCTCAGGGGCAGTGATGAGAGGCACAGAAATATGGAGGAGGGTGGCTAAGACCACTGGGGTGATGAGGACCTAGGGTTATTGATATCTGGAATCAGGAAGGGGGATTAGAAATCGGGATGAGTGACCTGAGCGCTGTGTGCTGTTTGACTTCATCAGGTGAAGTACTACAACGCTGAGGGTTATGAAGTGGAGCGCTACCAAGAGGCCATCATAAAGTATCAGGTGAGGATGTGAGGTATGGCCTCCTAAGAGCAGCACGCTGGTCATCTGGGTATTGTCAGGGCTGAGAGTAGTATAGTCCAGGTGGTGAGATCGAAAGTTGGGATTTGGTGATGGTCAGCGTGTATTTGACATTCCTCGCTCCTGTGTCATTACCTTCAGGGTTTGGAGTGGAAGTCAAGCGCTTCACTGGTTTTTCTGAATCAGACCCAGAACTTGGTTATTGGACTTGGTCTCCTTGCTGGCTCCCTCCTTTGTGCATACTTTGTCAGTGAGCAGAAGCTACAGGTGAGGCAGAATCTGGAAAAAGAGAATGGGGTCAGGGAAGAGAGGGGCCTGGGGCCTGTGTCTGAGCCTCCAGGCCCATGAATGGGAAGTGGGCAGGGCAACAGGAAGAGCAACCTGCAGACCCCCTATAACTTGTCGGCTTCCCTGGGTCTCCACAGGTTGGGGACTTTGTGCTCTTTGGCACTTACATCATCCAACTATACATGCCCCTCAACTGGTTTGGCACCTATTACAGGTAATTGCTGGCTCTCACCTGTTTGATGTGTGTGTTGCTATTTCCCAGCTCCTCAGAGGAACCCCAACCCTCACCCTTCTTGCAGGATGATCCAGACCAACTTCATTGACATGGAGAACATGTTTGACCTGCTGAAAGAGGAGACAGAAGTGAGTGGAGAGAGGAGTGGGGCTTTGTTGGGTTGTTTCTTGTGTCTGGAGAGTTTTTCATTGGCTGCACTCTGCCAGGTGAAGGACCTTCCTGGAGCAGGGCCCCTTCACTTTCAAAAGGGCCAGATTGAGTTTGAGAATGTGCACTTCAGCTATGCTAATGGGTAAGCCCTCCTCTTTTGCCTTCTTTCCTTTCCCCTTATCCATTTGCACACTGCCTTCCTGCCCCTGGTCCTGCTCTGAACCTTGGCTTTGCAGCTTACCACTACCAAGGAAGAGAGCCTAGGTGGGGGAGGGCAGCACCCGGTAGTGGCTCTAGTAATTGGAATAGCCTGCTGACCCCTCCCATACTTCTCTGCAGGCGGGAGACCCTGCAGGACGTGTCCTTCACTGTGATGCCTGGACAGACACTGGCCCTGGTGAGAAGACACCCAGCCACTTGGCCCATACTTCTTGAGCTTCTCTCATTCAGTGCCTGTGGCTCATGACCCGGACTAGGAGTCAGAGCCTTGTTATAATGCAACAGGAATGAATGTGATAGACTTCATGGGTTTTGGTTGCCTGTTGGAGCCTTAAAAGACCTGGGTGGACCTGAGTGTTTCCCTGTGTTTCCAATGCAACAGGTGGGCCCATCTGGGGCAGGGAAGAGCACAATTTTGCGCCTTCTGTTTCGTTTCTATGACATTAATTCTGGCTGTATCCGAATAGATGGGCAGGACATTTCACAGGTAAGGTTGCTGGGGACAAGACCATAATTTAGAGGCCTGTGTATAGAATACATGATACACATCTTCTGTAGTGGTCCAGGAAAGCAAAGCAGTGGCAGCATATTTATTTCTATGGATGGAGAGAGGTGAGAGAGGGTGAATGATTTGCCCACCCAGCTAGCATTTGCAGTGGTGATGGCAGGATTCCAATCTTGGACCTCTTAGCCCTTGTGCTTCCTGCCATCCCATTCTACATCCCAGGCCTAGGGGATCTCACAGGGTGTGATATATAGTCTTTTGGCCCCAGGTGACCCAGACCTCTCTCCGATCCCACATTGGAGTTGTGCCCCAGGATACTGTCCTCTTCAATGACACTATTGCCAACAATATCCGTTATGGCCGTGTCACAGCAGGGAACAACGAGGTAGAGGCTGCTGCACAGGCTGCAGGCATCCATGATGCTATCATGACATTCCCTGAAGGTGAGGTACCTCTGCAGAGTCCCCTCCCCTGCCCAGTGTAGTCCTCTTAATGCTTCTGATCTCTGGTTACAGATACTAAGTTTATTATATGTGACTTGAGGGAGGTGGGCATATCCACAGGGTACGAGACCCAGGTGGGTGAGCGGGGACTGAAGCTAAGCGGTGGGGAGAAGCAGCGAGTTGCCATTGCTCGCACCATTCTCAAAGCTCCAGACATCATTCTGCTGGATGAGGTGAGGCCCAGCACCCTTCTTCCCTCTGTTCTCCCTCTCTGTGCCCAAGCCACTTCTGCTAGGCATTTTCCCACCTGCCATAGGCATCACCCATCTGTTTCACCAAAACCCTTTATGGTTCTCAAGCCCAAACTCTTTTATTTCCTGAGCCTCGGGTAGCAAGCAGCCTGCATCCTCCTCCCATTGGGATCTTTGGGTGGCAGGGACATTTTACCCAGACCCTCTCTGCAGGCAACTTCAGCCCTGGATACATCTAATGAGAGGGCCATCCAGGCTTCTCTGGCCAAAGTGTGCGCCAACCGCACCACCATCGTGGTGGCACACAGGTACAGGACTACCAGACCTGGGTGGCTGGCAGTGTGTGCCACTTCTGGTGCAGTGGCAGATAACTGATCTCTGAGTTTTTTTTAGGCTTTCCACTGTGGTCAATGCTGATCAGATCCTTGTCATTAAAGATGGCTGCATCGTGGAGAGAGGACGGTGAGGATGAACAGGGGAGGGGCTTCTAGAGGGGGGGTCCCTTGCCTGTCCCCTTTTTCCTCTCATCCCACTTTCTCTACAGTGAAACTTACGGTTGGTGCTTACACTTGCTTCCTCACCCCAGGCATGAGGCACTATTGTCCCGAGGCGGGGTATATGCTGATATGTGGCAGCTGCAGCAACAGGGACAAGAAGAAGCCTCTGAAGACACTAAGCCCCAGACCATGGCACAGTGACAAAAGTTGTGGTTTCTTCCCTCTCACACACTAACTCGGGAATAAGATGTGTCCCTTTTCCCTGGCTTATTTCATCCTGGTCAGGGGTTTGGTGCTAGCTGTTATGAGGGAAAGGGGCCTTTTAGAAAAGCACTTTTTGGGAAAATAAATGTGTGGCATGTGCGAGATCACTGTGGCTTTGTCTGTGGGGAATTGTGAGGGACCTCTGTTCTTAAGTCAACAGAGCATTTCTGACATTTACTGTCTTGGTTAGAGAAGGAAAAGACACACATCACTTGGATATCTTATTAACTGCCAAGGTCTTTATTCTTTCCAGGCCCCTCCCTGCCCACTACCTATGTGGGGCAGCCCCCAGGCAAGGGGATGACATAATGAAAGGGGCTGAGAGTGGGGCTTGGCTAGCATCCACCAAGGGCCCAACCAGAAAATGGTTCTCAGTTACTTTTTTCCTGCAGCAGAAGAGCTAGCAGGACCTTTCATAGGCTCAGCTCGGCAAGCCTTCTGGTGCTCCTGGGAGCGGCCTCCGCCTCACTTCTGCTTCTCTCTGCACTCCAGGTTGCTGTGCGCCTCCTCTCTCTGTGTACCCTGGAGGTGTGAGGGCCACAGTCCTTCTCAGCTGAGCCTCCCTCCCCAAGCCCAGGACCCTAGCACAGGCTGCAGTTGGACGGCTTCAAGCTGCGGCTCTGCGCCTGGAGCGAGGGGGAGGAGGAGGAGGAGAGAGGGTAGAAAAGTCAAGGAAAAAAGAGGAAAGGCCTCATTTCAGAACTTAGCATGGGCTGGGGTCACACTAAAAGCAAAAGGATAACCATCATCCCAGCACTCTCCAGCACTTAGGAATACCCCCTATACACAGCTTCTTACTCCCTACTAGCTCAGGGCCTCATATTTATCACACTGTCCTCATACCTGCTGCCGTTGGTATTCTGCCTCACTGGCAGATAGTGCTTGAGCTAAAGCCAAGTCTTCTTCCTCCTGAGAACTAAGAGAAACAACTTGAGTTGGATGACAGTAATATCTAAAATTCAATCATCCAGTCTGCTAGGCATCATGGTGCTGAGCACCTCTAGGTATTACTGCAGTCTTCATAGCAATCCAGGATGGATGCCAGTATTGTCCCCATTGTATAAAGACAATGAAAGAACTGGTCAAAAGTTATCTTGAGCCCAATTTCTTATTATCTTGTATTGGGTCAGAGAGGTCTCCCCTCCCTCCAGACTGAAACCTTGCCTATGTCCTACTCTCTCTCTTTCACCAGAGTAGATAGATACCTTGGGATTTGGGGTTTGGTCTCTGCCAGAGATAGTTCCAGGGCACGTTGCAGAGCCTCATCCTCACTCTACAAAGGAAGATATAAGACAAGTTTCCTTGGACATTACTCTCTACCTGGGTTTGCTTCTGTCCATCCAACCTTGCCCAACTCACCAAGCCATTCTGCAAAGTAATCACTGGAGGGACTGTCCGGGACGGAGATTGGGTTGTGGCTCTATGGCAGACATATAAGAGGCTGAGATTAGAGATGTGAAGGGGAAAAAGGGGAGGGGAGAAATGGGCAAGCCTACCTGCTGGGAGAAGTAGAGGAAGGTAAGGTCCGACTTGGGCTAGGAATGGTGCTTGCAGAAGAAGCCAGACCTTGTGATCTGGAAATGGCAGCAAGTCTGTAGGGAAACCAGTCTTGGCATGCCTCTAAGAACATGCCTTACCCAGGAAATCAGAAAATGAGTTCCTCTAGTTTGAAAAAGAAGCTAAAAGATTCCCTTGGCCAATGAGGACAGGGTTGAAGCTTCCCAATTTGTAGTAATAGAGATCGAATCAGTTGAACAATTACCCTGCCTTGCTGGTTGGGTGCCCCTCCCCAGAGCAATCATGGTCCAGTGGGTGTCGGTGCTTGATGCAGAAGTTTCGGCCACAGCGCTCACAGGTCAGTTTCATCATCTCCCGCTGCCGGCAGCCAGAGCGTTCACACTTGTTGGTGAAGATCTGAGGTGAGTTGGAAAAGTTTAAGTCTGAGATTCTACCCCTTCTCCAGCCCCATCACTGGAGTTCACTGTTTAGATTTGCAGGCACTGGTAATCCCAGCTGGATCACAGTTAACCCTTCAATCACTGACCTTGCGTTTTTGCTGTGCTGGATCAGAGCGACAGTCTCTGTCGATGTGCTCTCCCACAGCCCGGTCAGGGGGCTCCCCTCTGGCCACAGGCACAGGTACATTACACAGGGGACACACGGGTACCTGGATATCCTATAGTCAAGGGGCAGGAGTCAGTCTGTGGCCCACTCCCAGTGCAACAAATCTCTGATCCTGAAAGAACTTTGATATACCCCCCCACTAGTGCACAAGAAAACCCAATGCTCCCCAGTATTGAGCCTCAAAAAGACAATAACAGGGAAAATGTAGGGCAGATTCTGAGATTCTGAATGCATTCACCATCTGCCCCCTCTCACCCTCACGATCGCCCCCTCACCTTTTGGTAAGCGGATCCACAGTGATGCTGGGCGTAGGCCACGTGGTCTGCACAGAAGATGCCTGAGCAGGCATCGCACTTGAGCGGCAGAAAATCTGCAGGAAGTGGATCGGATTGTAGGTCTAGCAGGACCTGGCTGTCCTTTCTTTTCACTCAAGGCTGCCACTCGGGAAGAAAAACGCCACCCTATTGGCAACACACTGCACCCCTTCCCTAGTCCACTACCTTTTGCCACGCCCCCTCGCCACCGCCCCCAACTTCGAGCTCCGCCCTTCTCTGACATTGCCAGCCCCGTACCCCTCCCTTCTCACCCCACCTGCAGTCCCAAGCCCTTTTCTGCTCCGCCCGCCTCCCCGCGCGCTCCGCCTCTCACCCAAGCGCTGACAGCTCGGCTCGGAACAGTGAGCCCCAAGGTCCGGGAACTCCATTGCCGGGCCGGGCGGAGCCTGCCGGGGTAAGAAACGAGGGCTGAGCTTCCCTAGGACCCTCACTCCGGATCGGGACCACCACCC